ATTATTATTATTATTATTATTATTATTATTATTGTTATTATTATTATTATTATTATTATTATTATTATTATTATTATAATTGATATCAATCCCATTAATGCCATCATTAATATCATTATTACCTTTAATTTCATCATTAACTTCTTCATTGTTATTATTATTGTGATCATCATCAATACTATTAATATCAATAGCATCATTATTAGTGCCACTATTGTTATTGATTAGTTGATACCATTTGACTTGTGAATTACAGAATGGACAATTTGTCTCCCAAATTACCATGATATTTTCTGAATCGATGACATATAGAATTGGTTCCTTGCGTAGTGAACAAGATAGTAATTCATTGTTGTATAAATAATTTTTTAATCTATACTTTGATAATAAAGAGTATAAACTAACAAATGGCAGAATGAAAAAATAAAATATTAAACAGACAACTAACGATATAAGTAATAGGAGAAATAATTGTGATTTTTTAAATTTCTTTATATTACGTATAAATGTTAAATGAACTAGTCTTCTTAGAATATGTAAAAGTTTTTTTATAAAATTTGGTGATGTTGATGTTGATGTTGTTGAATTACCAACGCTACTATCAAAATATAATAAATCTAACGGATGATTTTTATGATTTTTTGATGATATTGGATAATAATTTGTGGAAAAAGAATTATTACTGTTGTTATCACTACTATTACTACTACTATTATGATTATTGTTATTATATAATGCCACCATCACCATTTCTAAAATTTAAAGAATTTTTAAAGTTTATAAATTAAATTTGTAATAATATGCAGATCTATGAATCGGTGAATTTTATTAAAAAAACGTTCAATATTAATTTTAATATTAATATTTTTTTTTTATTTTATATTAATATATAAAATTTTCGATCTTCCGAGAAAAAAATTTGTATTCATAACAATAATAATAACAACTGATAGCACATTCTGTAAATATGTCTTCACAACAACAGAATCAACAACAACAACAGAAAGATTTAGTACCAAGAGATTCCAAATTGATGGAACTGCTTTTAAAAACTGCAGGAGTTGATGAATATGAACCTAAATGTGCTCAACAATTATTAGAATTTGCTCATAGTAAATTATCTTCAATATATATAAGAAGAAGAAAAGAAAATTTTTTGATAGATTAATGTGATATTTAATTAATTGATTTGAACAATTAATTTAATTAGGATATACTGTTGATGTACTTCAGGATGCTTTATCATATGGTGAACATGCTGGCAAAAATGTTATAGATGTAGATGATATTAAGCTTGCCATACATGGTCGTATAAATCATTCATTCACATTCCCACCTAGACAAGAGGTTTAGTATTATTATTATTATTATCATTATCATTATTATTAATTTTTGTTTAATATAAAGAATATTTATATTTATATTTTTTTTTTTTGAAAAAAAAAGTTTTTAGTTCAACTTGCAAATGAAAGAAATGATGTACCTTTACCACATGTACCAGTAAAATATGGATTAAGATTACCACCAGATAGACATTGTTTAACTTCTGTGAATTTTCAAATTGTTCCAGAGGTTGTTATTATTATTATTATTATTATTATTATTATTATTATTATATTTACAAACAGTGCAAATTATATATACATATATATTAATAATTATTTCTTTTTTTTTTTAAAAAAATTAAAGTCCACTTTTGATAATAATAAAACTAATATTTATAGTAGTGCTAATAGTAATCTTGGTTTAGGGTCATTAAGCATAAATGAATCAATGGAAATTGTTTCACCAACACCACCACTTCAACCACCTTCATCAACACCACCAATTCAACCACCCTCATCATCGCCAAAAACTGCAGCAGCAAATAATTCAAAAGATTTTAACAATGATAATAATAATAATAACAATAATAGTGATAGTAGCAGTAGCAGTAATAATAAGATATTAGATTCATCTTTAGTAGATGAAGATTATGATATGCCAGAAATAAAATTTCAAGAAGTTGGTTAAAATATTTTTTGATTTGTTTAAATTTAATTAAAAATGAATAGTTCTCAAATACAAAACCAAGTAATTGAACATGCTCAGAATACTTTAACAAGAGCAAATAGTGTCTTGATTCAATCAGATGATTCAGATTATTTACAAAATCAATTGATTAATCATTAAAGAACTATAAGTTTGCTGTCCCATTTAATTTATAACATGACTGAAAGTAGCATTCATTATCAAAATTTTAATTCAGAATTTAAATTTATCGCAGCAAACATATGAACAATTAAATAATAAAATATTTCTATTAACTGACCAAATTGGCCCTGAAATGCTTTTTGTAAGTCCACAACTATCAGGCGGTAGACCAAAATTAGAAGTTTCTGAAAATGCAATAATTTTATTATGTTCAGAAGGATTCTCTTTGGTTGATATTGCCAATATCTTTGGAACAAGCATTACAACATTATATAGAAAGATGACATGATCTAAATTTTTTAAATATTCCTTCATATAGTGAAATTTCAAACAATGAATCAGATCAAATTATTTTGAATATAAAAGAGTCACAACCATATTCAGGTCAAAATATACTAATGAGTGCTTTGAAGAGTAGAAGTGTCAGAATAACACATGAACATTTAATAGGAGCATTGAGAAGGGAAATTAATTATCAATTTAACCAATTTGTCAACAATTGGAAACATTTCAGATACCATATATATCCTTGAATTCAATCTCTTTTCCAAAACAATATTTTAAGTGAAATGGATGAATATAATGTGGATATGGACCACCATTAATAAATGCCCAAGAAAGAGCAATTCCAAAAATTCGATACATTTCATGATAATCTAACATGACAGTATTATGTGACATTATCAAAAAATTAGAGTTGTATGAATCTTCAGTCTAAGGCCCCTCACAAGCCAGCTCATGAGGAGCTTTAAACCAGTCATACATTGTTTTTCACCATGAAACCATCTAGTAGCATGTGAAAATGTGCAAATAAACTTAAAATTTGTGTGGTATGTCATTCCAAGATTCATTCATATACAAGGATTTGCTTTTAATTGAAATCAAAATAAAATTATTTAGAAAGCTTTACAAGAAATGATCAATTTCATTACGTTTTATTGAAAATTATAAAAAAATATTTTGCTGATAATTAATCTAAGATAAAAATGAAAAAGTATATTGTGAAAATTCGCAATCAAAATAAATAATAATTAATTATATTACCTTTATAATTTGATAAAATAAAAAAAGCTGTCCTTTTTTAAGAACTCAACAAGATTAAATTAATAATATCTACAAGTCAACTTCAAATAATTTTTTTATTTGTATCTTTATTGTATCCATTTTGATGAAATGGCTCTATTTTTTCACAATATACCCATTTCTTGAAGTTTGATGCAATTTATTTTTTTACTGAAAATGTGATCCAAGAGGATTGTTAGCTCTATTGTTGACTTCTAATACATTGTTTATTTTTTCAATTTCAAGTTCATACCTGTCACTCACCGACTTTTTAAAATCATTAATAATATTTTGAATCTATATGATTAATTATAATAATAAATCAGTGCTTTCGAATTTGTTAAAATAAAATGATCAATTTTATATAATCTACTTACAATTGAAAAAGACGAAGATTCTCAAGATTCTTGGGAATGGCTAAGAATTAAATAAAAGAATTCTTAATTTTATTACCAACTAGAGTGACGGCAAGTGGCGATAACCACCACCACCATTCTTTTGATAAACACAGCCAATGCATATCCATGATCATTTTGTTGATTTGATTGATGTGTTACACATTAATTATTTATCCCATGGTGCCTATCAAACTAATTTGACCAATCAGAAAACTAATATAGATCAACTTTTATCACGTGATGCATATAATAATCATTCAACATTCAATGATAATATATCTGCACCATTAACATAAATTCTGGCAATTTTCTATGAGTTTTTTGCTGCAAATATTAAAACTTTTCCTGAAAGTCCTAATCTATAAGCATTCATAATCTATAACATCTTCTAGCGAACTTTCCAATTTTACAAAGTGAAACCGAGTTCAATGCCAGAGGAACAGTTCTCTCTAATTCTTTAAATAAATAATTACAATTTTTTCTAGTGTATTCTTTAGTTACTTCCCAAAAACCTTCTATATAATTTAATTCACAATGATTTCTTGATCAGCATTAAAAATTTTCGGCAATAAGTGCAGCATTTGATGTCATTAGTATTATATACGAAGCACCATATCTGAACGAATTCTTAATCAGGAAAGATCACCATTAAAATTTTCGGTAAATGGCGCAGCATTTGATGTCTTTAGATGCGGCGCACCATATTGGTTTTTTTTTCAGAGGACAGACGCAAATTGGTTTTTTTTTTTGGAAAAACAATTTATTTTTGACAGAGTCCAAGGTGACAAAACGTGAGTGTTGTAGTTGGTTTGGTTTGGTTTGGGTCTCCTAAAGAAAACGTGTTAATAACTAACCAGAGGTACTATTTTTTATTTGTATTGATAAATATTTTAATTGGAAACAAAACGCGGTGCAGATCTTGCAGGGTAATTAAAAGATACTTGTCAAGATGATAATAAATGAACAATTGGTATTTTGCTTTGCGTAATCGTTAATAATATTACTATTATTATAATTATAAGATGTCAAGGCAGCACACCGTTGAAAAAGAAACAATTCAAATATGCAATGTTTGATTATCGGAAATTGGCAGGCATTGAAGCACGCACGCTGCCTTGAACACTTTACAGTCATTCACACACATGTTCCTCGTGTACACAAGGCTAATCTGACTTGCAATGATATGATGATGCAACAGAATTCCAGTGAGGTTGCTCTGCCCTGGAGCTACATCAAGACTGCATCAATCGTCAAGGATGCTTTTCACTAATCTTCCCTCACAGCATCCAGACCAGAGAAGGCTGCTGGCATGCTAGCCGAAAAGTTGCCTGCAACGATCCTATCTCTAGGGTAAAGATGGCTCTGTGTCCAAGTTGCAACTCTGCTGATGAATTGTAATATTAGGTGCGCATAAACATCCAGATCATCAAAGCAACGAGAATCTGCAACTTGTTTCAAGCACAGGAGGTCACAATTCAGAGCAGGGTTTGTGGCCCTGAAATTGCATTTGGACT